TGCTTGGCAACAGATATATGCTGGTATGTAGGTATGCATGTATATATGGATGTATGTATGTATGTACGTACGTACGTATGTATGTATGTATGTATGTATGTATGTATGTATGTAAGGGCCGCGACCGACCTGGTCTATTCGCCCGAAAGACGTGAAAAGACGTGAATGTATGTATGTATGTATGTATGTATGTATGTATGTATGTATGTTTGTATGTATGATTATGTATGTATGTATGTTTGTATGTATGTATGTATGTATGTATGTATGTATGTATGTAGGTACGTGCATGCACGTAGGTAGGTAGGTCGGTAAGTAGGTAGGTAGATACGTAGGTATGTATATGTTTGTGTATGACTCTATGACTGCATGTATGCATGCATACACGCGTGTAATGTATGTATATGTCTGTTTATGTCTTTACATTTGCCTGCCTGCCTGCATACCTGCCTGCCCGCCAGGCTGTCTGTGTCTATGTGTGTTTGTCTCTGTGTGTGCGTACGTGCAAAAAACAAGGATACATGTATGCATACATACATGCGCCCATCCATGTCTCTCTTTCTCTCTCTCTCTATCATGCGCATGACATACTAGTAGCTAGTTGCTCATCGCGTATGGAGGTTACACTGCCATGCTGTGACTGCGAGTCAAGGAAGCCTGGCTCAAGCACGCCCACACGCTTCTGAGGCCGGGCTGGTCAGTACCCGGTTCTCTTTTGACGGAAGTGGGAGTCATCTGTGATGATCTGGGCCCTCCAGGCCTCTAGGCCCTTCCCGATACCACGCCTCCTAGCTCCCACTCGCAGAAAATGCCAGAGAAGCCGTGATGAGTTATGAAAAGTGAGCTATCAGCATTGGCCTTGTCAGCGATGGTGATGACGACGGTAGCAAGAGACTCGGGTTGTCCTTCTCACACTGTCCGGAGGCGGAAGACGTGCCCCATCGAGGTGAGGTACACGCAAGGATTCGGACCTGCGGTCATCAAGGTCAGCCTTCGGCTCTGTTGCATTGTGAGGTACCACACCCTTGTACACAAGGCCTATAAGTTGCTTTCCCAAGCCGAAGCCTTCTTGGTTCTGGTTGATTAGAGTTTTGCATGGGTGTACCAGAGAATGAACTGGCAGGTGACCCTCTACGCCTTGAGAGATGTGCTTTGTGTCGGGAGCTGGGCATCACAGTGCTTAGTGATCGTGTACAGAGTCCAGTAGCAAGCTGATCTGCTTTGGAGCCAGACTTTGTTGAGGTTTCACGCACGTAGTAATCAGTCGAAGTGATCATCATCGCAATACACAGACGTCATGACGATGACGCTAAGCAGAATGCTGATGGTCAGAGTAATCATGCCAACTCCTACCCGTTCTCATGCTCCTGCCCTACGGCTGCTCCTGCTCCTCCTCCCTCTCCTTCGACTACTCCTACTCCTACTCCTACTCCTACTCCTACTACGACCACTACCACCACGACGACGACGACTACTACTACTTCCACGGTTGTTATGGTTATTACTACTATTAACACTGCGGCTTCGGCTGCGGCTGCCCAATACGGGCTGCGACTGCGACTGAGATTGCGACTACTAGTGCGACTACTAGTGCTAGAGCTAGTGCTGCTGCTGCCGCCGCTGCTAATGCTATTGCTGCTGTCGCTGCCCCATCCCCTGCCACTGCCACTGCGACTGCGACTGCCCGTTGCTATTGATGTCAGGCCCTTCCAGTCGGAAGCTTGGGCACCTGGGGTCGGAGTCTCATCTCCCACGTGCTGGCACCGACGCAGTCCTAAGCTTTAGGCTTTAGCCATGAGCTGCCTCGTGTTCCCTTTCTGAGGCGGAGGCGGCACCGGCGGCGAGTCGGTTGCACGCCTGGCCCGGGGCGAGAGCTGCAGGCCCAGGAAACTCTGTAAAGGAATTGCATAAGCAGTAGTTAGTTCAGCTATGGCTTCACACGTCGAAGTGAAATGTGTTCCTCTGCAGAGGCTGCGGCCGACGACGGACGATGATTTTTTTCGATTGCGGGCGATGGCCATACTGGGACGGCTTCCTTGCGAGTGGCCCTTGAGCAGGCCTCGCAGTATTCGTGAAAACCAAGTCAGGTTTACCGACCTGCTCCACTCCTGGACGTCGTTTTGCACAACGGCGTGCAGGCTCAGTTTCCAAGCTTGCTTAGCAATGGACTTGTTAATACAGCCACCGAAACACAGCGATGTTTCATCCAGGCCCATCCCAGCCCCCAGCAAGCAACCGCCATGTGTGGACACGTGAAGTTGCCCTCTGGTGCAAGACTGAAGGGGCATAATTGTCAAGGATCGCTCCGCACTGATTTTGAAGTGCAGGATCCCTGGTTCCGGGAGATAATATGGTGCGGGGAGGTGCTGGTGGTGCTGGATGCAGGGTTAGGATTCCGGATATTCCCGGGCTTGATGTCTGGATGTCATCGTACCCGTAGGCTGTAGTTGTGGCCGGGACAGGTACGGCGTGGGGATCGGCTGCGCGTCGAGGTCCCTGCCGGCGGAGAGGCCGGGCGATACACAACCGTCCCGTTATGGCCCTGAAAGTTTACTTTCATTCCTTTACGCCTTTTGTCTTGTTTCGGTTCATGGCACGAGAGAATTGCTACCTTCTTATGCTTTTTGTTTTGTTTCGACTCGTGGCCCGAGAGAATCGCTATGATGCTTGTGTTCTCAGTGGCCAAGATCGATGGCAAAAGCACTGTTTGCGGCGGGACACAATTCAGGTGGTGCGATTTGCTATCGGGCGCGCTGTGTGATACGCAGAGCGAGGGATCTTGCTGTGCTTGCATGTAAAAGCTTCAGTCCTACCGCAGGTAGGCTGGGGTTGGGCTAGGTTTGAAAGCAGTTTTCTGTTCTTGACGCACCAGACCTGATGCCAGGCCTGTGTCTACTGCGACACGCCTGGCATGCCTCGACCCAAGACCTGCTTGCCATGTTTCCTGAGGTATATCCTAGGCTTCTGACCGTCTCACAAGCCTTGGGTTTGTCTGTGAATCAGACCGTGAAGCTGAAAACTGGCAATGAACTTGGACTTGGTCGGCGAAGTGGCGCACAGGCTCTCTCAAGTCATTGACGACGTGACAGCGGTCGAACAGGACAGGACCACTGCAGCCAGACAGCTCCTTCACTTTGTCCACGCAGCTCCAAGACTTGCGGCCACCTGCCTTGCCATGGTTAGGAGCAAAGGTGGGAGCCGGGCTCTCAGTCCTGAGCCTCGCGACGCTGAGTTGAGGCTTTGGTTTGGGGTTTGTACCGCGCCTCACCCGCTGGAGGAAAAGTAGATCAGATGGGCTTGTGGGCCTGTGGGCGTAGCAATCAGTGCATCATTTCAGGTCTCCAGCCGCTGGCCCAACTGGGCTGGTGGAGAGCCAGTTTGATCTGAGCTCTCTAGAGCCGTAAGGCTCTGTTGACAGTCGGCCTTCAGACCGTGCGAGCATAGCAACTAGTTAAGACCTGTACCGAAGCCGTCATATTTCCAGCTGCCAGCTGAAGGAGTGGAACAGACGTGCGCAGTGTTTGACCGGCCAAGCCATCTTACCTATTGCTGTACAGGGGTGAGTTGGCTGCTCCAAAGTGCGCGGGAGCAGGTTGCGACGTGTGTGAAAGAGCCCGCTGCGGTGTTACTAGCAGTAGTAGCAAGCATACCTTGCAAGGCGATCTCCAAACCGTCGTAGCTAGACTACCACAGCTGCTTGTAGGCCCGTCGCATGCCATGACTACAGCATTGAGGGTCAGCTCCTGTTCGCAGTAGGCCCAGCTGTTCAGAATGAGTGGTCTTGGCTTGTGTTGATGGTAGTTTCAAACTGTTTAACTGTATCTTTTTGTTAGGAATCAGCTGCCATCACTGCAGCGCTGCTAATGCTCCGGCTGACTTTCTTCTTCCTACTTTCGACATTCTGCTGCTTCTACGTGCCTTAAGTAGCCCCCTGCCTTCTCTGCTTCCACGGCCCTGTCGGCAGAGACTTCTCCCTGGCCATAGCCCAGGTTTGGCATCACATAGACAGTGACATGCCACGGAAAGTCGTGACATGCTGAACATGGCAGGGAACATCCTCTGCAACTTCTTCCTGAAGCAGCTTGGCTGCGAAAGTGCTGGCAGCTGCTAGCATGGCATGGTTGGCATACCATGCTGCTGCTAGCAGCTGCTAGCACTTTCCCAGCCACGTTCTGAAGCCGTGCCAGCATCATTCATCTGCCTTCTCCTCCATTTGAGCCTTTGGAGGATGCGACATCCGCAGACAGCCCGTCTGTGCGTGTTGCATGCTGCATCCTGCAAACAATCAGCTGCCAATTACGAGAGATGTGGAGTTGTGCCACCACTTGCCGCGAGTCACGCCGGAATTCAGAAAACAAAATAACGAACGATCATCTCACAGGTGCCAGATCCTGCGCGCAATTGCACATGAAGCGAATGATCGAATGCCGGATACGTCGCCAAAGTACTCTAAGTGTGCATCTGGTGCCAGGACACCGGCACTCCAGGGCGGACTTTAGCTATGCCTGTCATTGGCCGTAGAATCTTCGAGGTTGCTTTCTGTTTCCCGCGAGGAGAAAGGGCACTCATTGCAAACAGTGAGATGTAGCACAAAAGATGTAGCACAAAGTGTTGCACAAATGTTTCCTCCTCAGACATTTCCCCTCCGCAACTGAAGCTCTCGGCGGTTGCACTTCTGGCCATCCTCTTCAGGTAAGTGCTCCACGTGATTATTCTGGGTTTTTTATGTAGTGACCCTAGGTATAATTTTGGGGCATTGCTTGGCACACCATATCGACGGGCCACCGAAGACTTCAGTTCATTTGGAAGCATGCCGGTTGTTGCTGTCCCCGCACAACTACCTCGCACTTTGACCTACTGCATTTCACCGCTGCTTGCAAACCTTGGTAGAGTCCGCATCACCCTTTCTCGAAACCCGCCACACGAGCTGTGGATTTAGGGTCAAAGGTCGGGTGATCCTGGAATCCAACACTTCCTTAGCCCAAAACCCTGGTGTGGAGGTGTCAGGCTGCTCTCCAAGCAGCACGGAAACGCAGCTCGAGACCCAGACCGAGTCTCATCGACCGATCTGGTGGAAAGCTTGCTGAAATCCAGAATAGCATAGGACAATTCTGGGTTTAAGGCTAGGCTAGCAAGCCTCTCCTTCTTGTCTTAGGACTGAAGAAGCTTGGGTCTTCCAACTTCGATTCGGGATTAGTTTGAAGCAGCCGGCCCACAGCGACAGGGGGGTTCCGGAATGGAGTCAAAGAGGCAAAGCGGAGAGGGTGAAGGTGAGCTGGGTTATCGCCAGTGCACGGCTAAGCCCAAACCGTAAGTTTCGTCGTAGTTGCGGTGCAAGAAGGGGCGGGCTTCATGGGAACAGTCCACGTATGGCCGCACCGCCACCCCAGTGCTGGTTGCAGCTTGTTGGTGTTTACCTGCCATGCCCAGCTGGCGCAGATCCAGCAGGAACATGTTCACACCTGGGCGCAGCTATTGGCAGCCGCCAAGGACTCCTCACCCAGCCCCTTGCTTCCCAACGACATCACACCTGGGACGCATGGACCCCTCCCCGCCTTCCTTGCCGGCACCGGCTTTCCAAACAGTGCCACTCACAAGTCCACCAACAACCTTTCCCCAGTCTTCTCCCCAGGCTCAGCAAGGGCAAAGGGAAGGGAAAGGGAAAAGCGGAAAAGAAACTGAAGGGCAAGGGCAGGGGTAAAGACAACGGCAAGAGCCGCAGCAAGGCAGAGTGGAGTTAGAATTATAAGCACTGAGCAGCATAGCTCCCGTGACTGATCGCTTTCGCTTGAGCTTGTTCGGCTTCTGGCTACAACAAATGGAACATGGGAGGGCTTACGCGCTGGAGGCATGACTGTCGCCTTCGATATGGTGGACGACGAGCATGCGCCTTACATGGACGAGGTCGCAGCTCAATGATTTGCGCTGAGACACCATGCGATTTGCCGATTCAGCAACTGAAGTTGTAAGACTGTAACGGCAGTGCTGTGTCCTAGCCAAAAGATGTGACATTTAGTGGACTGCAGTGAGCCATCTTGGAAAGTCAAGCAGCTGCTCCTTTCACAGTGTACCAAGGGAGCAGTCGCCCCTCAGGCCGGGTCTTGTTGGGTTTTGTTGTCAACTCGTGGGACTCGGATCCATCACCGTTGGAGCTGCAGGCACAACAAGACAGCTGAGCCGGGTGCGCCGGCCAGCCAGGCAAGCTGGCGGTGGTTCGGAAGCCCCTTTATTGAGATCTGTAAGAGCAGGGCCTGCGGTTTGGCTGATCGGTTTTGCCAGGCTGGGCAACCAACTGCTTTTGTGCGATTTGCAAGGTGTTGATGACAGGTAGCAAAGTTGAGGTGTCTTATGACGTCGGCAACATACACGAGCTTGATGTGTCCCCCAAATGGCAATGCCGCATGGCAAATGGGTCCCGCATAAGACCGCCGGTGTCTCTACTTGTGACATGTAATGATGGTGCAAATATCCGCTCCTCTTTCTTGTGGTTGTTGTTGGTGCTGCATTTCTGGTCTCTTTTCGTCTATTGTGCTGCTTGTCGCTATGGCGAGGCTCTGTCATGTGTTCTTGCTTTGTTTTTTTGCTGTTGCTGGCTCTGCTTGAGGCGACGGTTTCATCCTTTCGGTACGATTGGCTCTCCCGGCCAGATCTTAGTGTCCGTGACACCAAGGACCGGAACACAGATTATTTGAGCACGTGGGCTGTTCTGTCGTCTTCACCATCGCGGTTATCGTCATCGTCATCATCGCGTGATGAATATGATGATTAACATGGTCAGTAGGAGCGGGTGCCCAGAGGTATCGCGCCAATCGCACTACATCAACACGCGATGCAGAACATGAAGCCACAACTCTCACATCCAGAACATCCGCGTTGTGCCATGTCCAGTCGGAGCGTCTTCGCTACTTCGTATCCCCTTGTTGCCTGCTTGCCGCAGCAGTTGGTTCTACACCGATACCCTAAACCCTAAACCCTAAACCCTAAACCCTAACTCCTAAACCCTAAACCCTAACTCCTAAACCCTAAACCCTAAACCCTCAACAACCCACTCTGAGCTCCTCAGCTCTCAGGACAAAACCAGGGAGGTCTCCTGGATCCTCAGAGAAGTTTGAACACCGGGACCCAAAGCCCAAACGCCCCCGGTTTAGGGTTTAGGGTTTAAGGTTTAGGGCTTAGGGTTGAGGGTTTAGGGTTTATAGGGCTTAGGGTTCAGGGTTTAGGGTTTAGGGTTTAGGGCCATCAGAACGAAAGCAAAGGGGGTCCCTTGCGTCCGGAGGCAGAGGCCTCTGAGAGCTCCAGTGGCGAAGAGGAGAAGGCCTCGGCCCTAAATGCAAATTTTGAAGGTGTAAAACATAAATAGTATGAGAATGAGAAGTATAAAGGACAATAAACAGCATGATAAATATGAATAGGACAATGTACAGCATGATACTCGTATATCTTGAGGCCTCGGGCTGGAGATTCGTGCTTTTGGCAATCTTCGGAGTCAGGTGCCCCCACCTCCTCCCTGCAGCCCGCGGTGGCCTTAGAACCACGCAGTTCCTATGGCATGGAAATGTTCAGCATCTCTCAGGCGTTTGACTACTTTGTCGGTGCTGTAGTTTTCCTCCCTTATGTCTTGCGGTGAGCGACGTTTGCAGTCGTCTCACAAGCAGAGCTTTTGCCAAGTGGACCTGCTGCTCTATCTGTCTCCCCCTCGTCTCCAGGTGCGGCTTGCCTCCTATGCCCGGCACCGAGGAGGCCTGAGACTCGTGGGTAGAGGCTAAGGCGACGAAGGCCTGGAACTCACCGCTGTCCCCCACTGGCAAAAACACATCTGACCCTAAGCTGTCTCTGCAGCTTCAGATTCTGCCACACCGGTCTGAGAAGATGATGCCGCAGCACCTTGTACTCGATGGTTCTTCATGGCACTCATTGAACACTCGTGATGCACAGCATGCGCACTTGAAACATTCGAGCCTAGCAGGGTCCTCATTCAAGACTTGGCACCTTCGTGGGGCACTGGCCATGGTTGGGTCAACCACTCAGGGCTACAGCACACTGCGCGACAGTTCCGGAATTGATGCTGCTTGGAGCATCTTTGACGACGCAGAGCTTGAAGAGGTCGTGCACATTGTGAAGAGCGAGCCGGACGGTGGGAGCGATTGGGGACCAAGCTGCCTGGACAAGGACCTGATGGCACTGATCTTGTCGCAGGCTGGTGACACGGTTGCATTAATCCAGCATCAGGTGCCGGCAGTCTGTCGTCTTTTTCGTGCTGTCACGAGAGAACCTTTATTCTGGCAGCACTTGTCCCTGTCGCCCTCGAACTCCTTGGCCTCTTCTGCCGTGACAGACGATGTGGTGTGCCGGCTTGCGAGAAGTCATGGCCCAAGGCTGCTCACAATCTGTTTGGATGGCGCGCGCTTACTCGGCCCTTCGAGTGTTTCAACGATCGCCTACAACTGTCCGCAGCTGCAGGGCTTCACTGCCGTCGGCTGCACGGGAATCGGCTTTGGCGCCATCCGCTTCTTGTGCAAATCTTGCCCATTGTTGCATACTTTAAGAGTCAGTGGCTGCCATTCGGAAGCCGATCCTCTGCCCCAAGCCGACCAGGCCGAAGCAGATAAGCTGGCAAGGAGCATCACGGCAAATTGCCCAGGGCTCCGCTTTCTCTCTTTGTCGCGACTGCGGCTGGAGGAGAGCTTAGAGAAGCTCCTGAAAATTCCGGGCCTGGAGGCGCTGGATTTGTCCAGCCTTGAGCAGCTTCCCAGCGAGCGCCTCGACGCTTCTCTCTTCGAACATGCGGATAGGCTGAGATCCCTGAAGCTCGCGGGCTGCAGTCGGCTTCTCTCTATCTCCGGCCACTTCACGCAGTTGCGCACCCTCTATCTTGGGGGCTGTGTGCGCCTCAACGATGCGGAAGGCTTGGGGACTTTGCTCCAGCACTGCCGGCGGACCCTCACCTTGTTAAGCCTGGTGGGCTGCCAGAACCTGTCAGCTGAAGGCCTTTTGAGAGCTTTCGGTCAGGCAGGCACGCTGATGGCGATTCAAACTCTGGTTTTGGGGGGATGTCGCGTATATGATGAGCTGTGCGAACTCTTGGGCCGCGGATGCCCCAGCCTCACTTCCTTGGACCTTTGGGATTGTCCCATGACCAATGCAGGGGTCTCTGCCATTATCCGGGGTGGTGCTCCCTTGTCAGAACTGAACCTGCGAGAGTGCCGGCAGGTGACGGGCCAAGTGTTGCAGGAGCTCTGCTCATCACCAGCTGTGCGTCTGCGAACCCTGGATGTATCTTTTTTGGGTCCTGTGACCGACGACGACCTCCTGCCCGTCGTGCAGACCTTTGCTGACCTAAGGTGCCTGATTTGCGGGGGTGCTCGGTGCTCCATTACAGACAGGCTTCTGGAAGCACTGCCGCTCCGCATGGATGCCGTGCATCTGGAGGAATGTAAAATGCTGCACAACATTGCCCCCATCGCACGTCTGAAGAACCTGTCTGCGCTGAGCCTTGAAGATTCGGATGCTCCCGCATCACAGCTTCTTAGCATCTGTCACGGCTGCACGCTCTCGCTCTCTTCGCTGAATGTTTCTGGCTGTGCTATCGATGACGACTCCGCTTTGCGCATCAGCGCGGCGCTGCCGCGACTCCTGGAGCTGGAGCTTTGCAGCACTGCGATCACGGATGTGGGCTTGCGAGGAATCGTGCGGCACTGTCCCAGGCTGATGCATCTCGGAGTTTTGAATTGCGACAACCTGAGCCCAAGCGCTGTGCATGAAGCCAAACAGACACTGCCTGCCTGCATCGTGAGTTTTTTGGATACTTGAGCCATTGATTTGCCACTGTATGACACTGCATGGCGTATCCTGGTGGAAGCGACGCCGCTGTTATTTTGCAGCAGGGTGCAGGAACTGACAATGTAATCTGCGCACGTCGTTGCGAGACAGGAAGCAGCTGCATTTGAATCCGCATGTTACCTCCTTCGTCCTCGACATGGGCATGTTGCCGCGAACAGGTCTTCAGTGCCGTGACCGCATTGCCATGTCGATTGCGACCACAGATCGTGCCAAGAAAGAGGAATTCCACGACATTACGACTTGCCACAGCACTAGACAGGCTGCAGCTTCAGGAACAAGGATTCGAGAAGAGTATACAATACACACACCTCCGGCCCAAATTGTGGCCGTGCTCGCGCTTGTATCCGAGCCTACACGACCCTTGCACTTTGGATGGCCGAGGGACTTGAAGACGCTTGCTGATGAAAAGTCGCTTCATGCATCATGGGTTTTGAGGTCTTAGTGGGCCTTGGTTGTTGGCTTCCATCCTTCGTCCGTCAGCCTTCAGAGAGCACTGTCACGCATGGTTTAGGCTTCATCCTCGAACCCAGACCCTCCAACTCATGGAGACCTTCCAGGCCCTCAAGGACAACGTAGGATGCCTCACCCCAGTGGCTCAGAGCAGCCCCATGCTCCACGAAGGCGCGCAGCTCCGTGTCAACGGAGGCCTCGCTGCGGTGCGTAGTGCCTCCGTGAGAAGTCCCATGCAGCTTAAATCTCTTGCTGCAGGAGATGGGTTCTTTGATCTCCGTCCCCTTGATAAGTCACCGGATTCGTGTTATCCCCTGGCGTGCACGACACTTCGGCGGCATTCGGCGGCTAATTCTACTGAACTGTACTGTTACCAGTTTCCTCCTCAGGACTCTTGTCATCGTTTTCACTGGTTGTCAAGTTGTCATTCGTGTCGCTGGCATGAGCAATATACCATAAAGGAAAACATCGGTCCGAGCTGGCCATACTTACATAATGCTACTCGAGCATTTGTTTGGGCCACAGCGCTTCGGGTAGATTGACGCCCACTTAATTTCAAGGCTCTCGTGCGATCCTATGACACATGAAGATGTAAAAGCAAAGACACACACACACACACACGCGCACACACGACGGCAAACTTCAGTTCAGACTGACAGAGAACGCGCAACGTAGCAACTCCTCTCTAAGCCTCTAGGAGCAGACAGCACAGCCTGTTTCGTCAGATCTTGCATATGTTCGCACAACTATAGATAGATAGATAGTAGATAGATAGATATATATATATATATGTAGAAACATCCAATGTAGGTGAATGTGTATAATATGCATATGTAGACCTCCTGACCCGCCCATGACCGTATTCATTGCATAGTGCGACCAAGTAATTACAGGTTCCCTGCTTTACCATAAGCAGAAACTGGGCCTTCACGCCCCTGAGAGAAGTTGAATCCGAAAATACCGAGGCCCGGAAGACACATAATTAAGGATCAGAGGTTGAGGGGCAACACAAATCGAACGCATGGCAATTGGCATTGAAAGGGCTTGCTACAAGCAGGCAAGTATACTGGTGTTTGATAGTAGCAGAGTAATCGTACTCGGCTCTGTGATGGCACTGGCATGGCTGCAACATCAGCAATGATGCGTAAAACCCACATGAAAGCTACAATCACAAAAAGCTCTTGGGCTACCACTTCATCGTCAGGGTAAAAGTGCTTGTTCTTGCTATTATTGCTTATCTGGCAGCTCTTGCATGTTGTCTTCCTGTTACCACCACCCGCCAGGCAAGCCTTGCGGCAACCTTATTGCCGACCTGCGCCGACGCGCAGGCCACAGCGAATCCAGGTTTCTCTGAGCTAGTCTGTAGGAATGAGATCGTGTGTGGAGGGGGTGCCAGCAAGACTTCAAGAGCAAGCTCGAGACTTGATGTTTGCATGCTAGAAAGTTCTTGAATGTCGAGAGAGGTGACGGTTGTTTCATGACTCGTGCTTGCTTGCTTGCTTGCTTGCTTGCTTGCTTGCTTGCTTGCTTGCTTGCTTGCTTGCTCGCTTGCACGAAATGATGAAATTCTGCGGAAAGATACTGTACCTCCGTTGAGACCCTGAGTCCCCAAAATCTCTCCAGGTCCAAGCTGAGCCGTCCTGCAAGACCTCTTCTGTCCAGGCTCCGGACTTCTAGTGCTACTGTTGCAAGCCCTCGCTTTACATGTCAAAGTTTCCCAAATGCCAGGAGCTTTGAGCTCTGGGAATGTGCATTCCGGTTCAGATCTTTGGCGCAGATGCTTCAGAGCCTGGAGTTCTGGGACCATGAGGATTTCAGGAACACGGCCGCCGGAAGTTCAGCTTACACTCTGGGGTTGGAGAAGCCCAGCATAGGGTGGACCGCTGGCAGGCGGTGACCGACATTGTGACGATGGTCGCAGAGGTGCAAACGAAGGCTCGGGCTTGTGCATCTGGGCACCAGACTTTCGGGATCTCTGGGAACAGGTCTCCTCGTCTCGAACACGTCGACATTCGGATGTCAGAGCGGAATCCCATGCTTTGCATTGGGTAGGCTGAGCCTGACGTGGTATCGTCTTCGTCGCAGACAGAGGCACGGAAGAGACAGTTGGCCAAGTCTTTTGCGATCGACTGTGATGATCAAACGCTGTGCTGTAGCCTTCCTTTGCAGTGGGCACTGGGTATTCAGTGCAGCATTGACAGAGGCTCCTGGAGTGGCGAGTGTGGCAGCAGAAGTGCAGACAGAGGTGCCTTGCAGGAGATGTCCTGTGCGCCATGTAGGGGAGAAGTGATGTCATGAGAGCTGCTGACAGAATCGGGCTATCGGATCAAAAAACCCTGGTGTCTGCAGATTCAGAAGCGCCAAGCTGTTCGGCTCACTTCCATAGCTCATAGGCCCCAGTCCACAGGGGCTCACGATGTCCCATGCGGCCAAGCCGCAGGGGCACGAGCGTGAGCCCCCCGTCTTCCGCAGCAACAGCCTCGGTCTAGCTGGTGTCGAGGCCCGGCTGGACCGCCTCTCCTTGCAAATGGACCTTTGCCTCAGTGAGATCACGAGCTGGAGACTGGGGCCTTATAAAGAAAGCCTTTCAGCTTCAAAAAACCATTAAAAAAACACCAAGAAACGCAGGAGACTCACCGACCGAAGCTTTGCCGAGGAAAGGAGTCGCACAGAACGGCCTGGACGCGAGCTCCATGCCAACTCCCAGTGTACCGGAGCCGCCATCCAAGCTCCTTGAGGCGGGAATGGGCTCTTGTCAGAGATGGGGACATGTCCTACTTATTTTTGGGGATCCATGCGTTTCATGGTCTTAAGTCTTAACTGGTTGGTGGTTCTTTCGATTGATCCAGGGCCCCACCATTTTGACTTTTGACGGTCTTGATGCCAGGTCCCAGCAAGGCAGAGCCAAGTATCGAACGAATCTTCTGGCGCGCATTCGTCTGTGTCTTCCGACAAGACGCTGACAGAGGGCAGGCTTACTGCGAATGACAAATTTCCAGATGCATGCCGTGCATGTCTTTTGTCGTGTTCTCTCTCTGTTTGTCTGTGCCTCTCTCCGACTGTCTTTGGCTGTCTTTGTCTTTGTCTCCCTATCTCTGTGTCTCTGTCTCTGTCTCACTGTCTCTGTCTCTCCGTGTCTGTCTATCTGTCTCTGTCTCTGTCTGTTTTTCTATGTCCGTCTCTCTGTGTCTGTCGGTCGGTCGGCAGGGAGGGCAGCATCCTTCTGTGTTGTTGAGCCAGTTGCTGGCTGCAGTCTGGCGGGTCAAAAGCTGTGGTGTCCTCATGAGTCAAGCGCTGTTTGCTGGCAATCCTCCATCAGATGTCGGGCTTCACACCCACAGATCCTCAAAGCTTCATCTACTGGAAGCGTTTAGGGTGATCGGCAGTGTTGCAAAGTGTGGAGGAATCGCGAGGATAACGGCGAGGCCCATGCATCATCAGGGAGGTTCTACCGGGGAAGGTCCAGGCAAATGCTGCCCGTGCGATCTATGGATCTGAAGGTAGCCTGGAAGCTCCACGCCAGGGAGGTCACGCGAGATCTCGGCACGCTGAGTGCCGCAGACAAACGGATCCAACCACTTCTGCGTCTCGTATACAGAAGCCGTGCGGACTATGTCTGGGAGCTACTGGACGACCCAAACTCGAGCACCTGGGCCTGGGGTGTTTCCCTCTGCTTGAAGCTGCTGGTCATCTTCTCAGTGCTCACTTCCAATTTAGAGTCTTCGACGGTATCTCTTCTAAACCAGCGCCTCATCGGCATTCTGCAGATAAGCTTCGACACTGTGTTCCTGACGGAGTTCCTGTGCCGCTTCTTATCCGCACCCTCGAAGAGATCTTACCTGAAGGATCCGCTTAACTGGGCTGACATTCTCTCCGCTCTGGGCTTGCCTCTCAGAGCGATGATCGGCTTTGACGTTCAAGGCCTCTTTGATGTTCAAGGCCTCAATCCCAGCCCCGGACTGGAGATCGTCCACATCACGTTGCTGTACTTCTTGCCGCTGGCGCGCCTTCTCAAGCTACTGCGTTACTTCGACTCACTCCGGCTTCTTATCGATGCGTGCGTCAATTCAGCAGAGGCCCTGCCGGTCTTATTCTACATGCTGGCGGTCATGGTCTTGTTCTCTGCGACCATCATCTTCTTGGTCGAGTCGCAGGATAACATCCCAACTCTGAATCACTCTCTTTGGCTCTCCATCGTGACAATAACGACCGTGGGCTACGGCGACTTCTTTCCAAAGTCTCCTTGGGGCTACCTGTCCGTCTCAGTGCTGACCTTCGTAAGTGTCCTTTTTCTAGCGCTGCCTGTGGGCATTGTGGGCCACGAGTTCACACAATCGTGGCTTACGAGGCCTTGGAGTTTTGGAGCCCTGGAAATCTCCACCCAAACCTTGAAAACTAAGCCGTAAGTGCCTTTAAATTCCACACCTTCTAAACCTTCAACTCGGCTATCCTAAGTACTTCCCAGTATCCCCAATACACGCGACCCGAAAGTGCCCAAAACACGCTTGGTAGCCTAAGAGTCTCCCACACAAGCCAAATTTTACTTATATACATGAACATACACAGATATACATATACATGTGTATATATATATATATATACATATACACATACACATATACATACATATATATATATATACATAGTATAGATGTAAGTCCATCCGAAGTCCTGAGCCCTAAGCCCCTCGATCCCCTCTCCAGGCGGAAGGTCCTCCTCCAGACTCGGGTGCGCCGCTGCCTCAACAAATGGGGCTACACGGCCGCTGATCTCCAGCGCTTCGTCGGAAGACATCTTGAGAAGAAGGGTTTAGGGTTTAGGGTTTAGGGTTTAGGGTTTTAGGGTTCAGGGTTTAGGGTTTAAGGGTTTTGGGTTTAGGGTTTAGGGTTTAGGACCCCCCGTGTTTAAGACATCCCAAAATTGACCTAATATAGGGGCCTTAATAGTTAGAATAGGGTTTTGGGGCCCATTATACTCTCGTTATAATAAGGACCCCCCCCCAAAAAAAAAAAAAATAAAATAGTATAGGTACTTATTAAACATCTTGAGAAGAGGGGCCCCTTCGTGTGGACCTTAAATTGTAGGACACTTGCTGTAAGGGCCTTCCAAGAAGTTCCACGAGTGTCTGAAACCCCTAACCAACCCAGAGTACTCTTTATTTATGGTAGAAGGAAGAACGAGTCATAGCAGTTTTTAACTCGCCGCGAGGACGAGAAGCATAGCAATGAGGCTAGTATGAGTGGTTCTGAGAATGGTGCTGCCAATGATGAGCATTGTACTACTCTTCGTGGGCATATCAACATTACCACACAGACTAGACATGTAAATGCAAGATCAAGAGGATGCTGTTCGAGTACGCCGACGCCGATGGCGATGGCAGCCTTGCTCTCATTGAGTTTATCGAGCTGGTGCGCCAAATGAGATCTTTAGTGTGCACGACGGAGTTGTTCTATTTTTCAATCACTTCGAGGCTTCATGTAATTTAGACTTAGTAAACTAGGCAACCAGCAGGGAAACAACGCGAACCACAGGGTCTAGAGTCTAGAGTGTCAGCTTTGTTGAGGGCTCTTCTAGTGAAGATGCCTGCGTGATGGCGGCCTAGAAAGTCCCAATTGTCATGGTGATAGTAGCCGAGTGTCGCAGGTTGGCGCGCCCGGAGTTAAGCACCAGTACCCGCAAACCATTGGAACTCTAACAGCCTAGCGCCGTCAGGTTTTGTTAATCCAAAGTGCTCAGCCCGATGTTGTCCACTAACATCTTCCCAGGAATTGGAGTCAGTGCTGAGGCTGCAGCGGAGCTCTTCACTATGTGACCGTCTGGCACTTTAGAGTTTTCGGCTTCGGGGGTTTCAGGTTTAAGTTTTGGGGTTTAGGGTTCAGGCATGTGTATTAAAGCCCTGGCGTTGCAAGTCTGCGAGTGAGCCCTGGTGCCGCCCAAGGTTTGACAGCGACCAGAACGGAACCCTGGATCAAACCGAGGTGCTGCGGCATCTCTTCCCGGACGAGTACGTCAGAGACGCTTCGCTTGTACAGAAACGGTTTCGCTGACTTGCGGATACCTGAGACATACGGCCATAGGCGTTTAGGACACACCCCTGGGCCTCACCAGGAGAAGCACAAGATGCAGCAGGAAACCCTGGAGGTCTCAAAGTACAGGATCGGCCAGGCCCTGGAAGAGTGGGGCTCCAGCCGCCTGACCGCCGATGACCTCATGGGAGACCGGCAGGTGTCCTGCCCGCTTGCAAGCGACGATGGGCAGCTGCAAAGCTTTGGAAGCCGGGTGGACGCAGATCCTGTTCAAGATCGGGCGGTCGTGGTGTCGGCTATATTATAGCAGCATCATATACAGACTAGAAGGGAACAAACTTGCTAATTATGTCAGCTCCGGACCTCCGTTTCACCTGTGCGCGTGTCTTCCCCAGTTGACTCGGCTGGCCTTGTGAAAGGGGGGCTCCGGCTCAAGCGGGCATATATGCATATTCTATATATACATATATAGATATAAGATATAAGCATGCATACATACGTACATACGTACATACGTACATACATACATACAAAACCACATACATACATGCATGCATGCATACATGCATACATACAGACGTACATACATCCGTCCATCCGTCCATCCGTCCATCCGTCCGTCCGTCCGTCCATCCCCGCATCCATCCATCCATCCATCCATCCATCCATCCATCCATCCATCCATCCATCCATCCATCCATCCATCCATCCATGAACCCATGAATGCATGCATGCATATATATATATATACATAGATTCTTTAGATCTCTCTATAGATAATCTATATATATATATATAACCATATATATATATATGATGTACAGTACAATTATATATATATATGTATTCATAAATGTTAGTACTCGTACTCATATTCATATGATATATATATATATAT